CAAAATATTTTGGCAGGAGGAATGATGCAATGCTGGTCTAGTTATCCACGATCCTCACAGTACATTCACCTCTATTACATACATTGTAACTCAGAATAAATCTCGAAAAAATTCCACCACTACATCACTCCATTGTACCTTCAAACTTTAGTTTTTCGGGGCTGAGCAAAAATTGTTCGAATAATAGATAATTATTAATCACATGACATATGGAGGAGAATTACTAATGGTACTATGAAAAGTACTTTCAAATATTATCATAAATTTAAATAACCGATGTCTGTGTAACCGATGGTAAATTAATGTATTTGTGGTTTCTCTTTCTATTCAGTATCTACCGGTACTTAACGTTGATGAATATTTATCTATTTTGTTGTCAGATTTTATTTGAGTGGTTAGACGACGATTCAAGCTGTTGCGTTAAAACTGCCATTACAGTGATCACTAATCTAGCACAAGAAAACGACGAGTGGAGCTTGCTCATTGCAAAGGTATATATACCGCAGTATTGTTATTGTTTAGCGATTCGTAGATAGAATTATTTGTATTCATTCAAACTGTATCTTTACTTGTTTCAATATGTTATGATCATCTTTCTCATTTGGAAAATTTTCATCACATTTCGTCACATTTGAACGCTTTCCTTTGTTTTCATTTGATGCTGTAACAACATCTTTCGTGACATTACCGGTAATAGAATACGATTGACAGTGATAAAAAAAGTCCAAATACTGTTGTTGGCTTGTGCTAACAAGTTTCAATTTTTACTCGAAATTGTTTCACCGCTGTCATGCCCAAAAAATATCTTACTAATATTTACTACCATATTAAAAATCTGTATTAGAAGCCACATCTCTAAATGGAAACCCCACCAATTCTTTTTAAACAATTGAGAACCAAAGATTTACCATTCCACATTATGTTTACATGTTCCATATATAAGAAGCCATATACAACAATTACCCTCTGTTGCATTATACCATTTTAATAGAAGCCATGGCTTCTAATGCAGATTTGAGGGTAGTCAAGAAACTATAGTAAAGGTAGACTCTTTTTTGTTTTAAAAAAAAAAATTAATTGTCAATTTGGCCTTTTTAGCGCGATCGCGAAAACTAGCGTGAGCCAAATTGACAATTAATTATATTTTTTTATGTAAAACAAAAAAGAAGTCCCGACTTTGCCAGTCTATAGTAAAGGTAGTGAAGTGGTATACTGAATTTTCGAATGTAAAATGTGACTCTTTTCCTCTTTATACCATATCAAAGACGTTCAGTAGAGGGTTTGGTTACTGAAGAGATGACATACGACGTAATTGTCTACTTACCATGGCTTGACACTTGATGTAATAATTGTCTCCTTGGCATTGCTGTTTAATCTACTTTTAGTCACATGGTATACTTACGCATGTGCTTGAAATAGAAGGGGAATTTTTGCCTTTCAATTTAAGTGCTGCATTGAAAGCACAGAATTAATGCTCAGTTTGATGAGAAACTGCAATTTACTTTTGAATGAATGAATGATTGAATGAATGAATGAATGAATGAACGGATAAAAACAATTTTGTAGAAAAAAGACTCTTGTTCGCAGCTTTAATTTATTTCCTTTATCTGATGAAAACCTTTTAATTGATACTTTGAAATTTTTTTTCATAATTTTTTAATTTATTCCGAACTTGTGTTATGACGCTCACATTTTTATACTTTATATAGGAAGGTGGTGTTAGTGCGTTGTTTCAGCTGTGTCGGCAAGATACTTTCTCGTTTTTACGCACCGATGCTTTGAGAGCTGTTGCCATACTTTGCTGCATGGTGGAAAATATAGATGAATTAGAAAAGGTATTACTTTCAAACTGAATGTTTACCAAACTAGTCGTATTATTGACTGCCCTCAGTGTTAATTAATGTAAATTACTTTTTAGTCCGTGCATCCGTCCGGAGTCGTATCTCAGAATCCCTTGGACCGATTCCATCCATTCTTTGCATGTGCCTAGTACTTTATGTGGGACATATGCACATGCAGTGATTTAGCGATTCGATTCCAAATGGCCGACTGGCAGCCATCTTGTTTTTTGAAAATGTCATATTTTGGACATGCTTTGTCAGTTTTCATTCAAATTTAGTACATAGATCATACATGTTAGGATACATGTCTCCGACCATCTGTGAGTTCCCAGCTGAGTCTGTTCGTCTGTCCGTCCGTCCGTGGTTCAGTCTGTCCAGTGCCATATTTCAGAATTCTGTGGACCGATTCCGTTCATTCTTTGCATGTGCCTAGTACCTTATGTGGGACATATGCACATGCAGTGGTTTAGCGATTCGATTCAAAATAACCGACTGGCAGCCATCTTGTTTTTTGAAAATGTGTATTTTGGACATGCTTTGTCAGTTGTCATTCAAACTTGGTACATAGATTATACTCGTTAGGATACATGTCCATGACGATTTATTTCACAATTGGATCAAAGATGGCCGACTGGCAGCCATCTTGTTTTTTGAAAATGTCGTATTTTGGACATGCTTTGTCAGTTTTCATTCAAATTTAGTACATAGATCATACATGTTAGGATACATGACTCTGACCGTCCGTGAGTTCCTGAGTCTGTCCGTCTGTCTGTCCGTCCGTGGTTCAGTCTGTCCAGAGCCATATTTCAGAATCCTGTGGACTGATTTCATTCATTCTTTGCATGTACCTTATTTGGGACATATGCACATGCTGTGTTTTAGCGATTTGATTCAAAATGGCCGACTGGCAGCCATCTTGTTTTTTGAAAATGTTGTATTTTAGACATGCTTTGTCAGTTGTCATTCAAACTTGGTACATAGATTATACATGTTAGGATACATGTCCATGACGATTTATTTCGCAATTGGATGAAAGATGGTGACTGGCAGACATCTTTTTTTTTTTTTATGCGGTATCTTGGACGTGCTCTGTAAGTGGCACATATGGCACATACATGTACTTTATACATGTTAGGATGCATGTCCATGACAATTTGTTTCAAAATCTGTTCAAGGATGGCCGATTGACAGCTATCTGACTTTTTGGCCTTACTACTATATTTCCACAATTTATGTACCATTTTCATTTGTATTTGGCACATACATCATACATATCAGTGTGTTTGAATAACGGCTGTTTTTATTTTTGGCAATATTGCTACTACACGGAACACGTGTTTTGATGTAAATAAACAATCTGTTGTATATGCCACTTGGAACTCAAGTTTCAAGGACACGCTCGCGACAACCCCTCCGCTTTAATATGACGAGCACAAAGAGAACTTTCAAAAATTTAACGGGGACTGTGTCATTTTCAATGACTTGTTTTTATATACCGGTAAGACCTGTACATTGTCATCTATAGGGAGTTTAATTGATTTATATAAGACCTGTACATTGTCATCTATAGGAAGTTTAATTGATTTATATAAGACCTGTACATTGTCATCTATAGGAAGTTTAATTGATTTATATAAGACCTGTACATTGTCATCTATAGGAAGTTTAATTGATTTATATAAGACCTGTACATTGTCATCTATAGGAAGTTTAATTGATTTATATAAGACCTGTACATTGTCATCTATAGGAAGTTTAATTGATTTATACATGTATAAGACCTGTACATTGTCATCTATAGGAAGTTTAATTGATTTATATAAGACATGTACATTGTCTTCTATAAGGAGATTATAGTATGAGACATTGTCTACTCTCTACTTTGCAGGCTGACGGTGTTGAATGCATTACTGATATACTGTGTGATGTCAAAACAAGCGAGGATGTGCGAACTGAAGCTGCCGGTGTGATAGCACAGATCACGTCACCTGACTTAGACCATTATAAGCATATTATTGGATTTATTGAAAATTTAGAAGATCTTATAAAAGCATTAACAGGTGAGAGAACATCACCATTTTCTGTCGCTACTTATCATTAGTGAATTGTCCTTTGAAGTTTAACCTTTTGAACTCCAAGCCATCTTTGATAACAAATGGTGGCCATCTTTGATAAAAGAAAAAATGGTGGCCATCTTTGATAACAAATGGTGGCCATCTTTGATAACAAATGGTGTCCATCTTTGATAAAAGAAAAAATGGTGGCCATCTTTGATAACAAATGGTGGCCATCTTTGATAAAAGAAAAAATGGTGGCCATCTTTGATAACAAATGGTGGCCATCTTTGATAAAAGAAAAAATGGTGGCCATCTTTGATAATAAGTAGACAAAGTATAAACTTCAAGAATACTTTTATTTCTTCCCATCATATCATCATGTTGACTTAATTCTGAAATATGGCGGTTTACTTTCAACAAAATGTGAAAATTAAATACAAAAATATTTTTATTACACTATGCAGCTCTAACAAAAGATGCCAGCAACAGTGATGTTTTTCTAGTTGCCACGGCAGCCATTGCCAACGTTACTTTCATGGACAGCATGGCAAGTGAATTTTTAGCTCAATACAATGCAGCATCAGTACTCATCCAGGGCTGTAAACGAAATAAAGCGCCCTCACTCTATGCAAAGGACCAGGTAAGTCACCTTTGTTTTTATCTATTGTATTACAGAAGGCTGTAATTTTGTATGTTTTAAGCACGTTTACAAGTGACCCACTGGAAAGCAGTGTGTGTTGGGCAACCCTGTAAATGAATGATTAACTAGAAGACACTCTTGAGTACACAGATCGGAACCGCAGATACAAACAACATATTCTTACTATACCTCTATCATATTGTAATAATGCCTTTTTATGATGAAAAACATTTAATTTATCATATTTAAATGAGTTTCTAATTCATTTTTGAAAAGAAAGGCCAAACAGGCCCTGTCTAACAATGGTGAAGAATTCTTCAAAAATTTACTATCATCGCTATAGCAACTGTATTCAGATCTCTCCTAAATCTGATTGCTTGGTTTATGTTTGAAGGACTACTTCTACTAATAAAATTAGGAAAATATTTTTTTTTTAATTATCTGGCAATTAATAGTCAATTAAAAACATTTTTGTTTCCATGGCAACTAGATTCAGATCTAAACCAACCTCCAACTAAGTGATACTCGTTTCAAAAGGCAACACGTACTTAACCGTTTGAGTATAAAAAAATCATTCCCAAAATTGTTGTTTCTATGGTATCGTCTTTTATTTCCCGATTATTTTTCATTCACATAATATACCGTACTTTCGCTATCATTTAAATATCCACAGGTGGCAACAATACTTGCAAACATGGCGTGCATTGAGCAATGTCGGCAGGAAATCGCAACCGAAAATGGAATCGGTTTATTAGTGCAGTATTTACACGAGAAACCACGTCCGTATGTGAACAGTTGCATATCAGAAGACGAGTTGGCCGCCTGCGAAAGAGTACATCAGAAAGCGGCTATTGCGTTAGCAAGAATGAGTCGCGAGAAAGTCAATGCTGATATCATCAAAAACGAAAAAGGTGAGACTGTAACATGAGGGCGCTGTCCATTGCTGACAAAGTGTATCATTGACATTGGTTATCGACCCTTTTAAGCAAGTAATAAAGGAATTAAAAAAAAATGCTAGTCCTCCCAAAAAAACTTGCTCAAATAGAAAATGCAGGGATGGGAACAAAATGTTTGTTTTTTTTAATTTAAGGGAAAAATATTTGTTCAGAAAATGTCTGAGAACTCTAGTTTATACTACTTCCAAATTAATTTATGCGAAACAAGAGCAGAGATGATTTTTAGAAAAATACATAGAATAAAACCAGAATGGGAATGATGTGATCTAGAATTTAAAATGTTGTCGTTTAGTATAAACTCTGATTTCTATATTTGAGCAAAATTATTGTCTTTTAAATTGTGAATTTTGTTTTGTTTTAGGAGTTCCACGTTTGGTGCATCTTTGTACAGACCACAGAGCAAGGAACAGTAGTGATTCAGTCCTTGTGGCATGCCTGGTAAGAGTGTCGTAAAAATTAATTACTAAATAATCATTGTAAATTACTATAATTGTGAACACACACTTTGATAACTTATATGTTATGTCCATATCACATTGCCTACTGACACCGTTTTTCACCAATCACTTTGGCGATGAAGTTTTCAGCCAGCGATGCGTAAGTTGCAGCTCAGGGTGTAGAATTTGAGCGTAATTGCTACCTAAATGTTCATGAGAATGCACGTTTTAAACAGCCAAAGTACTTTCAATCACAGATTTATGCAAATCTAATTGTCAATCACAATGGTGTATGCAAGAAGTTAGCGCAATTATAACATATATAACATATATCAAACAATAGGAGTTACATTTCCCATGATGCACTGGTGTGATCCTGGGGATTATGGAGTTGTGCTTTAAACCTGAAGTGTATGTTGTTTACAGTCATTGTCTCATTTACAGTCTCTGTATACAAGTGCATAGTTTTCAATTTTCCTGATGAAAATACTGTGAAAGGATTAATTATTCACTGGGTTTTAATTTTGCTTATTTCGCTGACTGGAAAATGCGCTAGATTAAAACTCAGTGTATATGTAAAATTTAGCATAGAACACATTATCTAAATGATAAAACCGTGAATTTAAAACCCACTGAATATGCCTGAAATGGTAATCAGCGAAATTTAAACCCAGTGAAAATTAGTCATTTTACAGTAAGCATCATATTACTGTATCCCAGGATGCAAATGTACTTTTAACAGTCGGGCATCATTTGTCTTTACAGGCTGCACTTCGCAAGTTATACTCTATGTTGGGAGGCACAGCTTTCAGACCAGAAGATATAAAACAACTTGTGAAACCCAGACTATTAGACTCGTATCTTTATTGTACATCTATGGAAGAAACATTTGTTTGACGTCGGCTGCTATTTTGACGCCGACCGCTATAAAATTGGAACCATGTTGTAATGTATGGAACACGTGTACGATGTGCAATTGATAGCTACAATGTTACAGTATTAAGTATATAGGAGTGAAAACAGTACATTCTATACACTGCTGACTCACGAGTACGTTCCTCTCAGCGTGACCATGAACTATATTATGTACATTACTGTACACTTATTATGAACATAATGACATTATTGTTATACGTCTTTCCCACCTCAATGTTTAGAAGAGACAAATTAAGGGATTGTACCACGTCAAGAAAAGTGGCCGTATTCCAGGGCTGGTACCACGTCAAGAAAAGTGGCCGTATTCCAGGGCTGGCACCACGTCAAGAAAAGTGGCCGTATTCCAGGGCTGGTACCATGTCAAGAAAAGTGGCCGTATTCCAGGGCTGATACCACGTCAAGAAAAGTGGCCGTATTCCAGGGCTGGTACCACGTCAAGAAAAGTGGCCGTATTCCAGGGCTGGCACCACGTCAAGAAAAGTGGCCGTATTCCAGGGCTGGTACCATGTAAAAAAAAAAAAAAGTAGGCGTATTCCAGGGCTGCCAGTTTTAAATGGTTTGCCATCATTGGTTATATGCAAATTACATTGCTTGATGTATATAGTAGTTGCAAAATTTCAAGGGCTTTATCATTGCAACCATACATGGTGTTCAAAACCATATAAATTTAGTGTGAAATAAACAAAATGTTTGCTATGCATGGACGCCATCCATGACAACACCCTCTGAATCGATTTGTGTCACAATTCACAGAATAAAACTGTTATCAAGCTATATATTTAGAAAATTGGAAATATGATCCAAAATTAAAGCATGAGTCAACTGTCGTGGTTTCTGTATTTTAAAATATAGAAGATCCAGTCTTGGGAGTGAAATAACAGAATTACTCTCAGTTCTTCAAAGTATTATTGTTATTTCAAAACTATAAAATATATATATTTATAATTTTTAAGTTACTTAAATACATTGCCGTAGAATTTATGTACATTAAGTTATCCACTTTGTATTTTACCTTGAATTTTGATGCCAGTTATTTTTCAAAAGTCGGTCAAAGAGAGAGACTGAATTACATTGCCAAAACTATAATAGTATCAAAAATGTCTTAGTCATACCCATACTCTAGACTATATACTCCAGGTATTGAATCCACAGTAAACTTGCAAATAAATCCAATGTAAATTTTTCATCAAAAATTTCATCTGTATGCAGTGCCATATTATATTCATTACAGGAGGAAATGGCAAAGTCATGCAAACAAGTTTGGATAGCCTCCCTCCCTTCCTTTTTTTTTTCAAATTATCAGTAATTTGTAGAGCTGTTTTTTTTTTCTAATTAGCCACATGCGTGTGGCAATCCAACAAACCTCGCTGAATTACAAAATGCCTGGTTGTATTTAATAATTTGTAAATGAAGGCAATAAATCTGTTGCGACATTTACCCTCCCTCAAGTTAATCAGCGTTCAGCATTACTTATTGTACCCTTGCTGATGGATTCGCTCAAACTCGTATGCTATAAATATCGCCCATCATGTCGAGTCAGTACGTTATAATTATTTATACTTGTATATCATGTAAGTTAGAGAAATATTGTTCAAATAGTGTTTATTTCTCTCCCCTTTTTTTTTCTTATTTATATTTATTTAATAAATTACTGGGGTAGACTGGCATTCACTCAACTGATAGAACAAAATACCCCCCTCCCCTAGCTCTGAGTGACATACTTAAGGTAGCGGGACTATTATTTGCATACTTGTTTTCATCTTCTAATTGTGACTAAATGACTACAAATAGACCCAGGAAAGTATATATTTTTAGAATCGCCAGACTTCAAGCTTTTCACAAGTGTATTTTGCATGCCTGTATCTGCATTCTACGACGCGTTACTCAATCAAAAGTGAAAAATTACTTTTTCTGTAAAAAAAATAATTACGCATTTCTGCTGGCGATAAGAAGTATTTTTTTCACTTTTCCTAGTTGTTCAATAGTCTGGTAAATTGAATGTGTCTGGTCAGTTTTATTTAAGCAACGCGTTTTAAAAAATAGTGTGCTGAATTTCAATTACTGTTTTAGTCGCATTGCCCCCAACTCAAACCACAACTAGTTGGTAAATAATCGATGAAATTTGGTGTTAATCCGACGACAATAAGTATACGTTATTTTTTGTTAAAGACCTTGTATTTTGAAAAACATAAACTCCTAGAAAACGTCCATGAAGTAACAGCAAAGATTTTCAAGCTTGTTTATCGGCACAATCAATTAGTTTTCCCATCAAGGTCTGTTTTACCATGTGTAGGG